AAAAAAATTTTTTTTACACTGAATTTAATTATTTTTCGAGATGCTTAATGACAAAGTTTGATTTCGAGAAAAAGTGCATATAATTATGCAGTGGACTGAGGGAAAAGAGATGCGATGTACAAATTGTAAGAAAGCGCGATTTCGATTGAAAAATGTATAATTTTTGATGCCTTGAGGTTTTTCCTCGTTTGTGGTAGTTTGAAAGAAGGCGAAAAAAAGGTCAAGTAGAAACTGAATAAGATGTAACCGACCGTGGAAGTCATGGACTAAGATGCCGCTAGAATAAGTGCTCCGAAATGAAATGATCAATGGAAAGCTAAATATTTAGAATGGACTGGGAAAGGAGTACAATGGGCCAAGGGAAACTCGTAAATTTAAAAAGGGTCCGGAAAATATTGGATAAGTGGAAAGAAAAATGAATAAGCTAGAAGACATTCATCTGAGAAAATCGAGGTTTTTTCTTGTAGGGGAGGGGCGGGAGAGGGGAAGGAGTGCACACATTCAGCGTTTGTCGTGAAAAAAGTGAGGGCGACGAACCTTAATCAGCTGGTGCTTCCGAAAGGAAAGCTCTTCCTGCTGAGCGTTGGCATTTGGACTCATGTGGTGCGAATAATCAAACAGCGCTACAAACCACCTGTAATTATCAAAAAGATTGCATCTAGAACAGTTCCGTGCACAGTATTGTTTTGAACCAAAAAAAAGTAAAAGTGAAAGGGCGCACTGCTCACTCCATCAGCAGTTGGAGCAAGTTACTTTGATTTGATTGGTATTCGCTAAAAAATACCATCATTCTTAAGAATTGCGAAGGCCTAATTTGCTCGATCGGTTTTTCGCCACAGTTAAAGCTCATTCTTCTACTTTCTCAGTGGTCATGTTTCGCATTAACGTGCAATCAATAATTATAAATATTAGAAGAAAGCAGTTGGAGACACGAAGCATGACTGACTAGACTAACACAGCTGCATTTGACGTGTGGCACACATCGAATCTCTACACTGATTACTCAAGAAATAATGATAACTTCTGAAAAATTCATAAAACTAAGTCAAATTCAAGAAGGCTAATTTAACCTGCAAGAATAATCGTCCAGAGCCATCGGTCGAAGGTCGGGCTCGCTCCTTGTGCTGCACAGTTCCTCGCTACGCACCCGTGCCAATGATACTGGTAATAGATTCGGCACCCGTGCCGGGAAATTCGTCAGCGTACGCCCAGAATCCGTACGACTTCGCAAATACTGCTCCAACCTGAAATACCACACACAGATCTGCCAGTGAAAATTCAATAAGTTCCTTTTCCGAGCTGAAGTGCTCTCCCCAATGGATTTTGAGTGATGATGCATTGTTGAAGAAATAACGCGACACGGTGAAAAGAGCTACTAATCGGGATACCAGAAGTGAACTTTGATTGGACATCAGTAAAGTAAGAGTGCCTTTCGGACAAATTATGAATAATCGGCGAGTGGAAGTTACTAGGCAGGACAGAATAAGCGTGGAAGAGAGGGTGCATATGCGCTATAAAGGGTCCAGGTGAGACTTAAATGCAAATGAAAATGTTGCATGTTATATTAGTCAAAAAGCGTGTGTATCTGGACACTGAAGGCTTGCAGGCAAGTATTTAATTTTAACTGTATTTAACATATGTATGTATGTGTGTTTGTTTATGTGTATATGTAAGTGTGTGTGGGTGTGTGTGAGTGCATGAATATATATATATATATATATATATA